CAGTTAGTGAACCAATGGCCGATGCTCAGTAAGTCTTCACTTGTATTTCGAGCGTTTCGAGCTGGTTTTACCACGTCTTCTTATTGCATTTGACAGGCAATAACCGACAACTTATTTAAAATTAAAATATCATTATGCGTGACTACTTACATTCCAATCCGCCGGTTACCGCAGTGTAAACCGACGAATTATTGTGCTAATGTCCAACAAGAATGCCGGTTTTGGGTTATCTGTGAGAANAAGTTGTTTGGGCGTGTAGAGTGATGGGTGCTATGTGTGAGCTAGGTATATGCAAAATAAGTGGTTAGGATCTGGAAAGATTTGCCTGACCAGATCAACGCGGGACCGTGTAAGTTGAAATATGGAATAACGATGAAAGTATGATTTATACGATTGATCATAGTGCTTCCAAGTTTCCAATTTTAATAGGTTCCGTGGAACTAGAAGAATAGCATGGAATAGGAAAATGAAAACGCACTATGGTTAGAAAAAACGTGAATGACTGCGTTGAAAATCTCAACAGGATTTCTGTTCTGGGTTAAACAAAGGTGATTTGTGTATATGTAGAGAGAACATTCTCGTCAGTGATATATGCGCGATCAACAGGAACAAACTTCTGCACTGGGAAACCGGTACCAACATACCTTGAAGAGCTATACAAGAGGTAGACTACCAAAAGTAAATGAAATACGCGTGCAAGAGAAACTACTGCTTCTTAGGATGCTTTGGAACTGTTGTCGTGCTTTTTAGATGAAAACTCACCAAGATATTTGCCTTGTCTTTGTTAAAGTGTAGTAATTTAGTTACCACAGAATCAACTTCTGGAGATATCCAAAGTACTTCCAGCTAGTGAAGAAACAATACAGTGCTGAAGTGAGAACAATTTGTACAAATATTTAGCGAACTCCTATACAACTTAATCGTCTGCAATAAAATAAGTGAAGAGGAATATTTTATCCAACATGAACGCACTTATAATACATCAGGACCAAATGATATCAGGAGTGTATCGAAAATCGATGCACCATGTGTTGTTTTATTATGAATGTTCTAATGGAATAATGAGAAAAGTAACCGAAACGTCGGCGAATATAATTCTCTACCGATATCGCTGTGTTATTAACATTATAGCATTCACAATGAACGCACTTAATTTATGAGTTAAGTATAGGTATCATTTTTTGTGAATGCCAATATTTTAGCAGCGTGCTAACATCTATGAAATTAAAGACATGCGTTAACAAGGAAGAAGCCGCAGAAATAAGGAGCTCAATGATTTTGTTTCAAGAAGGTCGATTGATAAGAAAACCATAGTTCGAATTATAATTCAATACTGAATACAATTTCTGTTTGCCTGTTGGATTTTACATGTTGGATCAATAATTACAATGAGTTAGCCTGTGCTGATGATTTCCAACACGGATAACCCAGGTGTCCGGTGTCGTTAACCGGTCCTCACAGAAATATTTCCTCACAAACGAAATCTTTTAATAATGTGACGAAGAAACAAATTCCCGAACGGTGGAATTCACACCAAAGGCGGTGCACAGTTCTCGGTGTCATTTAGTACAAATGGAATGGGATAACCGAAAGACAAGAGATGTTAAGCATCGTAGTAGTCTATAGTGTGTAAATGCTTCGCAAAATCTCAGGTGGGATGTGTAGTAAGTAGGATTAGCCTTGGTCCTGGAAGATATGTACAAATCACGCTCTTGGGATAGTCCATGCAAATTCAAACGCATGGAGTTTCGTGGGTAGTCCGTTTACAGTCGTGCGCTGAAGTGTTGGTTGACCATCCACATTGTACTTCAAATGTATCGATTTTGGCTCCCGATCACATTCCCAATAACAGTTACCAAATAGCTGTCCAGTGTACATTGCCGGCCATTACACACACCCGAATTTAACACCATTGCATTGAATGTAGATGAAAAACTTGCCGGTTTTGGCTGATTTTTTACATGACAATTGCAGCTGGTCTTGCTTCTTTGGAGAGACATTGATCTTATTATTTTAATCACTGCATGATGATTCAAGTAAATTTTCATGAAAGGAAAGTGCCTCAATAAAGGACTTCCCTCTCGTACAAAGACGAGGCAAAAGTTGAGTGACTGTTGTTCTCGTGGTGGTGTGGGTGGTGGTGGGGTCAAGCACCCCCTTTCTGGAGTGATCTAACCGTGACCCTNCACTACACAAAATGAACATTTCGTTTACTCGTTACCAATACAAGTCATGATTGATTTGTATCCCTTGGTCACAATAATTTGTAGATGCACATTTTCCTCGCAGTTACTTCTTTCTGTGGATGTGTGCTGACAGTCACCGTAGTACCACACACACCCTCCATACAAGGGGTCCCGAATTCAAAGCGCGGATGGAACGATGGTTATGCACTATTGACAATGATAGACAATGGTAGCGGAGAGGTAAATGTCACAGTATTATAGTTACCGATAAACTGTGTTCGAATCCTTCCACCACTACTACTATCACCACCACCAACGGCAATCACCACCTGACTTTCCCCATTCCGTATTGTACGGCAGCGCTTTGATTGACTGTTTCCCTTTCCTGAAAATTTTAGCCTTATCTATTCAACAAAGGGAGGTAAAAATTAAAACGAGAGCAAATCTCGCATCTAGTACTTTCCCAGTGGATGGTTTACTGGATGAACTGAGAAATGGGCTTGAAGGTGAAGTCGGAAGAATGGTTTTCCCAAATCACCACTCTTTCCAACTTCGGGTACTTACTACCTTCGCGCGGTCAACTTTCTGGTTTCAAATCAGCACTATACTAATCAGTAACAGTGGAATTGGGATGCGGATCACTATCACCGGTGCACTGATCTACCATGTGATAGGTCCAGGTTGCCTTCCGGAACGGCGTTTTGGATCGGTCGGATCATTCCAGTAACAGCAGTGCGCCGGGATTCCTTGTGTGTGTTTCTCCACTGAAGTTCTCATCAATGAAGTCATTATTTATATTTATCCAGCAGCAGGCAGTTCTGATCTTCATGAAATTAACCTGAGGAGAATTCTCATCCCCTATCTATTCACGAAGGAGGATATGGATTGAGTATTTAAGATTCATCCTCCCCCAGCTGATTTTGTTTGCTGTTGATATCATCCGCAATTGGCTAACACGTACAGCTCAACTAATGCAAGTCTGAGCATTATCATTCATTCAATTTAGTATAAATATGTGCTGGTATGTACTGATTTTCGGTGCATTTATTGAAATATTTTGGATTGTCTTCTATACTGCTCAGGCTTTATTGTGACATTTTCATATTCACATTGCTAGAATTCGTGCATTATTGCTGCTCGGCTTCAATCGATTATTGCACCTCGTGTTGTTTTTTTTCTGCAGAGAAAAATTGGTTAGCGGTCAAACATCAAAAGATGCCTTAACGCGTGCTCCTATTGGGTCCCGTACCACACTTGTTATTCCTTGACGCGTAACCGGAGTCGATATTTCATTTTCTTTGTGAAAATTCCAATTTGTTGCCCGTTGATCAGAGCCATGGTTCCAGATCAGTACGGACAAAATTCTACTGTGATCCAATGAGCTTTACAATCAGTACTTGGTATTAGACGTAAAACAAAACCACGTGGTACTGCAAACTTTTACATGTCCTTTCCATCTCTACCCCCTCCCCCACCCCGAAATTATCTTTCAATTC